GCTACGCCTCTTTATTTAATTCAACAGCCTTGCAAACTATGGATAATTTCAATTTTCAAATGAAAATTCTGATGCCCAGAAAGGTCAATAATATGCCACAGTTACACAGCTAGCAGGTACTAGAATGGAGATTTGGCCAATGCCTGGCTGGGAAAATAGCATTTCATTCATAATACAAATCCTGGTGGACAATCTAAGTGGAAATTTCCAGCTCTGGACCAATAAACTGTGAATATTCCTTCCTCTATAGCTCTAATTTTGAACAATGAGAAATATCAATCCTCAGTGACCACATGCAGTTCACTCTGCCACAGCATGAATATTCTCATGGGGCAGTTCAAAGTAGTTCACTGTAAAAAAAGAAAAGCCATTAATTAGATGGATCAGTCAGGTTCCAAAAATTATATCAGAATCTGTTGATATGTGGAAATCCCCATGCATTAACCAACCCATGATAGAACCTGGTAGTCTCAACTCTAAATGAAAAATTAGAGAATGTAACTTTATTGAATTTGAAAGAGACCGTGTATTCCTAAAACACTCATGTTTTATTAAATTACACTCCTGTTATACTTGATGTCATTTTGCTTGACCTCTTCTTAAAGATGACTTAAAAATATACATTACAGATATGACTCTAAAATAGTATTTCCCAGCCAGATGCTACATCCGGATGGATTCCTAGAATACTTAGTGATACTAGAGTCAGCTAGAGCTTCATTCTCACCTTCATTATAAAGGCAAACACCTATGAGTACATGTTTTAAACCCATAAGGAGCTGTGATGTTTCTCTAAATTGAATAAATGATAGAATGATGCTGGGAAATGCTCAAGTATTAAGTCTGAAGTACAGTGTCTGGAGAGATATAAATACAAGTCAAGTGTGTCAAATAATTGAGATATAATAGAGCAATGAGGAGAAAATATGGAGATAGGGGATCTAATTATATTAAGTGTTTAAATAAAATTTTAATATTTGTGATGAGCTGTCATAAACAAGAAGCATGGAACTGAATAGACAGGTTTGCATGACTAGAGTGACTGTCAGGCCATTAATCAGTACAAATTAGGGAGAATTATTAGGGATGGGTGACCTGTAAACCCCACCACCTGAATGAATGTTCTGGACAAGGTTCTTGTTTTCTTCTCAGAAAACAACTAACCATAGTAACCTCTTTCAGAACCAGTTACCATAGGGAAGACCTTAGTGCTGTGAATGTGTTTGTTCTGATGGAATGTTCTTTTTTACATTGTATAGGAAATGAACCTGCCTGTGGCTGTCTCCCTTTAAGTAGGAAACTGAACAAGCCAGCACTGCTCCTAGGCCACACACACAAAAACAGTCTTATAAGCAACACGATGAATTTGCAGCCATTCGGAATGCTGTTGTGAGTAGCACTGCTCAGCATTAAACAATCAGAAAAAAGTACCTTAACGGCGTTCCCAGAGAGAAACCAAGAAAGAAGTTTTAGGCTACATATTTTTAAACTGGCTACACTTAATATTTACCTGGGGGATAGTTAAGAGTATGGATACCAACTGTACTTCCCAAACCATTTAAAACCGATTCTCTGGAGTTGGGACCCAGAGAGGTTTAAAAGCTCCCGCGTGGCTTGAATGCAGAGCCGGGGCTGAGAACCGCTGATGCAGGCAAAGGGGGCCGGACATTGGTGGGCTCCCTGATGAGAGCTCAGAGCTTAATTTCTGTAGGTTATAAATAAACTGACTCCGATGTTGTAAAATAAGTGCCAGGGCGCAATGTTATCACTTTTGATAAATCCTGGCTGTATTTTATTTGTATTCAGTTCATGACGAGGAAAAGCCCCAGTTCAAAGGCCTAGATCAGAGGCAAGTCCAGCAAGCAACAGATTTAAATGTAAATCTTGCTCAACTAAAGAAAACCTGGCATGATGACAGAGAAAGGCCAAAGAGGAAGCCAGGTAAACTTGTCACTGTTATAGAAAAGGTAAATAAAAAATCACATAGCCTACTAATGGAGGGTCAAGATAGAACCCTTCAGCATCGATATTACTACAAATACTGGGTGACTATCAACTAGTTTCAAGTTTCAGCTTTTGAAAACTGCGTAGAAATGTGTGCTATTTTGCTTGAAATACCAGCATTTTTCCTACTTACCAAAAAATTCTGATGTGAACATTTTTCTTTAGACATTCTTATTCCATAATAGTTGTATATTTTGTTTAGAGGAAAAAGAGGAAAAAAAGGAAAAAAACAGACAGCAAGAAGAATAAAATAGCTACATGAGATACTATTAGCTAGCTCTTTTCTAATACATTTTAAATTAATAATTAAAGTGAGAGGAGATTTATATTTATATTTAAGCTCTTTTCCTCCACTTAGCAACATGCACTAAATGTTCCACAAATTTATTAACACCCTGTGATATTCTACCATGCAGATGTTTTACAATTATTTTAACTACTCCTCTATTCCTAGAATAAACCATTTCTAACGTTGATAATTACTGTAAACAAAGCTGTGAGGAAACAGGTATGTTTTAGGTTTTTGATATTATTTTTCTTGGAATAGATTTTTTGATGTAAAAATAAATGTTCCTAAAATACATGTTCTACCACACAGGTTTCCTCATTTTGTCCATAGGTGAAATACCTCATCAAAGAGCAGTTTATCAACTTGTTATAAAGCAGCAGAGTTTAAAATGGCTGAATACATCTCAAGTTTGTTTGCTGTTCCTTCCTCCAAAGACTTCATTAACATGATATTAAAATCGTTTTCAAAAAGTAAAAGCCTACAACACTTTTCTGGAGGCACAATTCTGATGGGAGAGTTGACTGATGGAGTAGCTTAGCCTAGAATGTGTGCAGAGACATGGAGAGTAAGCCTCCTTTGCCAAATCCTAGAGATGTCTGGTCTCAAATTGGCAACATATACAGAGGACAGGAGTGAGAACCAAGGGTGAAGAGCACTGAAGGTCTGACAACAGAAATTCAAAAGTGAGAGAACAGTTAAGGTGGGAACTGCTACTTCAGGCTAAGGTGCTCAGTCTGACCTCGGGTGGGTTATCTATGTAGTGGCTTCTTAGCCAGTCACTTCAAAGTGCAGTCTCTCAGTTTCCAAGTCATCTCCATGTATCCAGAACTCTGAGTCAGCCTTCCTGTTCTTTTATTCTTAAATGCAAATAGGCAATCAAAGACCAGAAATTTTAGGAAATTCTACAGCCTTAAAGAGAATGACTGATTTAAAAAGTAGAAAAAGAGACTAAATTTAAAGAGCAAAGAAAAACTTAAGACAATCACAAATGGTACTAGAGAGATTAGAGCTGTATTCATAAAATAAGATAGCATGCTCTGAAAAAGTTATTCTAAGAATCAAAAAAATCTTGGAAATTGAATGACATATATGATTTGCCCTCTGACACACACACACACACACACACACACACACGGACACAATGACATATATGATTTGCCCTCTGACACACACACACACACACACACACACACACACACACACGGACACACACGAAAAGCCATCTGGGGAAAAAAATTCAGGGAATCTCCCAGAACCAAGACAGAAAGTGAAACCAACAAGATACAAAAAATGTTTCCTTTTAATTGGACCTCCAGAAAGAGAGGAAGGAAAAAATAAAAGGGCATAAATTGTAGGAAAATTATAGAGAAGTGAAAAAGAGGCAGGAGACAAACTAAAAGGAATACAATCTCTAGAGCAGGATGGATTAAAACACAGATGTGTGCACACATACACTTAAACATTAGGTTGTAGAGTTTTATAACACAAAAAGTAAAGATAATAAAATTGTACAGAGAGAAAAAGAAACAATTGCAAAGGAATATGAACCAGACAGCAGCAACAACTGATGCTAGATGACAGTGAATTAGTCTCCAAATTAAAGAAAACTGATTTTTAATCTAGAATTTTATAACCAAGCAAATACCAATCAATAGTAAGAGCAAAATGAAGTCATTTCAGATATACAATAACTTAGAAAGTTCACACATTACATCGACTTGCAGAGATAGTTGCTTAAGGAGATACTCTGGAAAAACAAACAAATACAAGAATGAAAACCTAACAAAGAGTAACTGTGACATTAGAAATTGGAATTACCCAGTAATCCAACGAAAAGTCAGTGGAACCAAGAACTTCCTAGAGAAGAAGAAAGAGATGAAGGCCATAAAGATAAGAAAGTGAAATGTGATAAAATGTTTAGAAAAAGAGATATTTTTGTTTTCTCAAGAGGGAAAAAAATCAGATAATCTAGGAAAATAAAATTAAGAAAAGTTTGTGGTATAAACAATGAAGTAAGTATATTGTTGTATGACTCTGACTATTTGATGGACAGTTGGAAAGGGGAATCAATTTGACCTTGACTCTAGGGATAGTCAAAAGAGGACATAGGTGATGCCAACCTGGAACTGTAGCAAAGGAAGTGAAACTCCATCTGCAGAAAGCATCATTTTCCCAGCTGTAATATATATGCCAAGTGAGAAATCAAGATATATTGTTGAAATGTGATAGAACATGATACAAAGGTGCGAATATACTATTTAAAGTTACAAATTTAGTCAGTTGAGAATTTTAAATTTAAAACGGTAATATAACCATAAAAAATTGAAAGGTTATACAAGTGAGCTAAACCTTCATCTAGCACAACAGGAAGCCAACAACAGATAATGCTGAAATTTGATAAATCTAGACATAGTGATATAAATGTACTAATTCAAAGAGAGTTGCAAGAAATTTCCAGATGAATAATGGCAGAAATTCTTCTTCTTTTTTAGTTATAGGATTGTTGTTCATTACAAGTTTTCAAATATTTTTGGAATGTCAAATTGTATATAAAATACCTCAGTAATTTAATCTCATATTATATTTACCCAATAAACATTAAGGACCAAACATGAATACATATTTTTTTAAATGTTCCAGGTTTGAAGACTACGGCTTACCTTCAGAGAGGGGGAAAAGGTGAGGAAAATATTAGCAAGCAACTCACCTAAGCAAAAATCACTGAGGTCAGCAAAGGAGCATTTGAGTAGAGAGTCTTTTTTATTCTCACCGTTAACTGGAAAAAAACACACAACAATTAGTAGATTTGAAAAATGAAAACACAGTAACAGTTGGAAAAGGGACCTTAGTGACCGCTATTTGAATGCTGGCCAAACATAAATAATTTTTAAGTTAATGAGTTGAAGTTAGTTATTTAAAATTTCACAAAGAAGCATCTGTACTGTATTTAATAATACGTTCATCTTCTTGAAGAATTAGGCACTTTCCTTATTAGACATGGATCATAAGAAGACTATTTATAATAGGCAGTGGTTTCACAATACTATTAAAAAGATAATCTTGGTAGTTTCAGGTTAACCAAAGGCAGAAGCAACCCTAAGAAACTGTAAGAAAATACATTCTAGTAAGACACAAGCCTTTTAGTAGAAAGGGGTGGGAAAATAAAACCACACCCTATCTACTGGACTTGGTGGCCTGGTTGTATTTTGACTCCTGACTCCTGGGAACATAATGGTGTGTCTCAGACAGATCTGTGCGGAGGAGAGTGCCTCAGGGCAGCCACAAAGTCTCTTTAATGTGGCATCTGGTTGGCACTTCCCTGTATTTCAGCCCTTGTATTAAGTTAGGTTTCAGTGCCAACATTAGGTTGGCAACACTTATCCAACCACATGTTCATGCAACCAAATCTTCATTGCTTATTGTCAATATTATTTAAAGTCTTGGGGTTTTTTAGGAAACTGAGTTTATTATTGATGACATACTCTACTCAATTACTTTTTTATGCATTTTTACCAGGAATGGTGGTGAGCTAACAATTCAGGTAAGCTGGTCTGTTTTTCTCTGCAAACAGCATGGAATAGACTAGTTTCGGGTGGGGCTGAGTACCTTCAAGGCAAGACAGAAGTGAAAACACATCTGGCCAACAAATAGCCTTTCATCTAACTGGCTCAGGTACTATTCTTCCTGTGCCAGCTTCCTTCCTAAAGAGCTTCATAAATACTAGTGAAATGGATGAAGGAATGAACAAAAAAAGAGAGCTCACCTTGCTCTGCTTTGTCAGCAGAGATTGAGGTCACAGAAGTGGGGGCCTGAGATTCACTCTCAATGGACTGAAAGAGCGAGGTAGACTGGCTCAGGCTCTTGGAGTAAACATAGCTCTGGGCCAGGCAAGGCAGGGATCGCCGAGACGGTTTTAAGGAAGTTTCTTTTGCTATCTCACTCTTGCTTATATTCATACCTAAAAATCCAAATAGGTGAAGTAAGTGTTTGGAATAAGAAATAACTGGCAGAAATCAACAAATAATTTTAATCCTTGTGACGGCTGCTTCTGGAAACTACTCTTAAGTAGCACCCTTCAGGAATGAGAACTAATTGAATTAGTTTTGTTTGTATTTTTCAGGCAACATGTTTAGAGATTTTTGTCAAATATTTCTGAGAAATCAACAGCTCCTCTTTCAGTCTGGCCTTTCACCATTTTTTTTAAAGGTTCCGTATAAAAGAAATGAATGTTTAAGTTCACTTAGGGACTTATGAGAACAATGATTTGGACCACTTAGGTTTTCAAGCAGAAAAATAAAGCCTAATTCACAAACATTCAAATTACTATTAAAAAATGGAGCCCTTCTTTCTATATCCTCGCCTCCCTTAAACACATGCATACTGTATTAATAGTGACCAAAAGGCTGCAAAGAGAAAGCACAGGGTAGTACAAAAACTGGCCAGTAGGTAGAGGTCAAGAGGGAGAATTTCAGTGCTCAGTGTGATAGTCCTGCCCCTCATGTAGAGAAGGCTGATTTGCTAGAAGAATGCCATTCAACAGGACTGATTCCAAAAGTGTATGCCAGTAACTGTATGCTACAGCAAGGAATGCTGAGATGGGAAAGGAAACAGGGAATGATTCAGAATTGACTTACTTAAGGTCATGAATCCAGCAACTGGCCGAAGTGAATGTTAAAGCTATATGTATTGGATTCCAAAGCCTATGAATTTTCCACAACGCTCCATGGCTCCCCATGAGCCCTAATCCCAGATAGTTTGTTACGGTTGTTTGGCTTGGTATAAGTATCACACAAATTTTAAGCAGAGTGCTCTGAATGTCCTCAGGAACTCTGATAATTCTATATCTGCAGTCTTGGTGAACTATGGGATATACTTTGATGAAAAAGGAACATGTGCTGCTTGGTACATATCAATAGGAAATGTCTACCTACTATCTACCAAACTGTATTTCTTTTATTTCAGACTGTCCTATAAAAATATGAATAATAATCTGCTATGAGTTAACAATGTGTGTAACTGAGTTACACAACATGAGAAATGTTTTTAATATTAATTTTTATTCATTCAGTTTTCCATCATTTATTTAATAATTTCAAACAATTTTGAGTTCTTTCTCTGAGCCAGGCCTTAACTCAGTGTTGGGTGTAAAACGGTGCTCACTCACAAGGGAAACAGATATATAAAAGCAGATCTTTATATTACAAAAACCAGTAAAAATATATATATACATAGGCCATTATAAAACCACTCAGGAGGAACTCCTAGTCCAGACGGTGGTGTCAGTATAGTCTTATCTGTGAATGTCATCCGAACTGATTGTTTTCGGTATATTCCTTCTCCTACATTTTTATTCTAATTTTTAGGTTTAACACATTTTTTTCAAAGAAATGTGTACATAGGTAAGAAAATCTGTAGAAAACTCTCCATAAATGCATAACTGCTGAAAATATTTGTCAAATGAACACTTAAAGAAAATTGAGAAAAATGTTGAAGATGAAACAAATGACTTCCTGTAGCTCTACATTTCCTTTTCCCTATATCTTTAATGTAAATGAAGTTTTCTCATCTTCTGAACTATTGCTTCTAAAGATATACCGATCATCTTTGCTAGCAACCAATATAATCTAAACTGAAAGTCAGATATCCTGTGTTTGAAAGAGTACAAAGTTTCTTTTCCAAGTTCCCCAACTGCCATCACATTCAGCTTGACATAATCATCAGTTCTGATCTTTGCTTGGTGTGATTAATATTAAGTGCACCCAGAGCAAATTTAGGCATTTTTTCCTACTATGTTCCCAAGTTCCATTTCTCTTCTTACGTGGCTTTACATGGTACCATTAAATAATATTTGATAACTACCCATTTAAAGCTAATAACTAGAAAAAAGACCACAGTCACATGTCAGTTTTAGTAAGCACACGCAGCTCTCGAGTTCAAGGCTAAACCTGTAGAACTGTAGAAAATGTGTCATTTCCTATATTAGAACAGATTTTTCTAAAGCAACAATTATAACCACTTCCAACTGTTCTAAGAGCACTTCATAAATGCTTACATATTTAAAAGGATCTAATAAAATGACAACTTCACTTGGGTATACAAAAAGACCTAAGAGGTATAATTACAAAAAGATATTTTCTAAAAATGCATTCACATAAAACATCAGACATCAAAAGAGAAAAAGCTGCTATTCGTGATATTATAGAGAACCCTAAAGATGCCATCAAAAATCTACTAGAACTGATAAATGAATTCAGTAATGCAGCAGGATACAAAATAAATATTCAGAAGTCAGTTGCATTTTTATACGCCAATAATAAGTTATCAGAAAGAGAAACTAAAAAAAAATCCCATTTACAAATGCATAAAAAAAAAAATAGCTTGGAATAAGTTTAACCAAGGATGTAAAAGACCTGTACTCAGAAAATTATGTCAGTGAAGAAAAAAAATGAAAAAGATACAAATAAGTGGAAGCATATACCATGTTCATGAATAGGAAGAACAACATCATTAAAATGTCCATACTACCCAAAGCAATCTGTAGATTCAACAAAATTAATACCAAGATACCCATAGCATATATTACAGAACTAGAATATTCCAAAAATTTATATGAAACCACAAAAGATCCAGAATAGTCACAGCAATCTTGAGACAGAAGAACAAAATTGGAGGAATCAAGCTACCTGATATAAAAATATACTACAAGGCCATAGGAATCAAAACAGCATTATTGTTGCATAAAAACAGACATATAGATCAATGGAACAGAATGGAAAGACCAGAAAAAACCCCACGCCTGTATGGTTAATTAACATTTGACAAAGGAGGCAAGAACATATAATGGGGTAAAGATAGTCTATTCAATACATGGTGCCGGGAAAATTGAAGATATGTTAAAAAAAATGAAACTAGACCACCTTCTTATACCATACACAAGAACAAACTCAAAATGGATTAAAGACTTAATGTTAGACTCAAAAACCATAAAAATTCTAGAAGAAAACAAGACAGTAAAATCTCAGACATTTCTTGTAGCAATATTTTTTTCTGATATATCCCCTTGGGCAAGGGAAACAAAAGACAATTAGAGCACCTATGTTCTTTAGATAGAGGAATGCAGCCAGAGAACTACAATACCCCAACCTCTCTTTTGTCAACTTCTGGTCTGCTGCTGCCTCCCACTGGTTACATTTAAACAGTGGCTAGAGGTCCTGTGAACCCCTGGTTGTTGTCTTCCATAGACACCTGCTTCCTGCGGCACTGGGCAGGGAGAAAATGGTGCAGGATGGAACTGGAGAGATGAACAGAGATCGTCTACTACACGTGAACAGACGTATAACTTCAAAGGAGCTTTCAGTATAACCTTTGTGTGCAGAAAGCAACATATGCACTTTTTTTTTTTTTAACCACTAGAGAAGAAAATTAACATTACTTGGTCATAAACTAAGTATTCGAAGATGCTTATAAATTAACATGGGAAAAGCAACACTTGACTTTAAAATACTTTTGCATTTGCTTTCTATGTGCAAGCCTCTATGCAGGAGACAAAGGTAAATAAAAGGCAACCTTTAAATAAGAGTTACTAGCAAAATCAAAATTTATCTAATTAAAATATATTAGGATAAACAAGAAAAGCTCTCTAAGTTTAATGCAAGATGGAATACTGCAAGAAAGGCACAAAGTTATGAAGGGGTTTGTAAATTGGAGAAAATATATTTTAAAAGTCCTGAAGGTGAAATGAATGCCCTCGTTTTTACTTTTACCTTTGCATCCTATTCTCTAATTTCCAAGGCACGCAGTCCACTCCAAACATGTTAATTTCCCTTACTACATGTCCCCTTAGAAACATGTACTTTGCTTTAACAGCACTTACCATGTTTGCATTTTTCATTTATTAGATTATTATTCAACATACATTCTCTCTAGCTATAAGGACAGTTTCGTGAGGGGCAAGGACCATGCTTGTCTTGTTCACAGGAACAGCTTCAAGCACCTGGCACAGGGTGTGCACATACAGTATGCAAATAAACCTTTACAAATGAAGTTATTTTTGTTGATTGATATTGTATCCTGTCAACTTGCAAACTCGATTATCAGTTCCAGGAACAGGTAGGTTCTTTGAAATTTTCTACATAAACTATCATATAGTCTGCACAGAAAGGTGGCATAATTTCTTACTGTCCAATTGAGTATCTTTAATTTCTTTTTCTATCCTTATTTAATTTTCTAGGACTTCCAATACAATATTGAGTGGGAGTGGTGGAATCAGACAATCTTTCTCAGTTCCTGATTTTAGGGGGAAAACAAACATTCTTTCATGATGAAGTATGATGTTAGCTGTGTTTTACAAATGCCCTATGTCATATGGAGGAAATTTCTTTCTATCCTTAGATTGCTGAAGGTTTTATCATGATGGATGTTGAATTTTTTTTTTTCTGCATCTCTTGATATATCACGTAGTTTTCTTACCAAGTCTGTTAAGTGTGGTAAATTATAATAATTGATTTTTGAGTGTTGAACCAACCTTGCATTCCTAGGTGATATTTGATATATTTAATTCTCACAATAATCCTAAAACAAAGCTTTAATTACAAATATTTAACAGAAAGAAAACTAAAGTTAACTAACTTAAGGACATTCAGTCTCATTACTGACAAACCTATTAACTCCACTCAAGATCATGGGATCTCCAAGCTATGTTCCTCTTACTATAGCACCTTTCACAGATATGGGAGGAGTATTAATGATGGTCTCCAGGGCAACCACAAAGCCTTCCCGTTCTTATACTCCACTTCCAAGGCAGAGTCCCTGGTAGGCTTTTAGGAAATGGATACTTTTGTTCCAGGGTTCTTAACAGTGAAGCCAATGGGGACACTGACAAAGATTATAAACTGGCACATACAGTCTTTCTTGGTCTTGCCTTTTTGTTGTATTTCTCTCCAATATGCTAGGA